TCCTTGCACCAAAAATAATATTTCCTACGCCCAATAGATTCCTGCTGTTTCCATGAATGTTGGTCACTTTCGTGCCGCGGCACTCAAATCAGAATTTCTATACATAACAGAAGCTGCAAATAGTGCCAGCTCTTCATGGAAGCTGTAGCTATTAGCGACATACCGTCCAATCCCCCAAGGGAATGATCCCCAGCGGCCATCCCTGCTATGCATGAGGGGAACGCTGGGGAAGGGATCAGTCCCCTGGGGATCTCTACTCAGAATTACGCAAATCTGCTACTTTCAAGGCAGCTCATGTTAAATTAACAAGATAGAGGCAAAATTTCACATAATACGATAGATACAATGTGTTTACGCAGCCTATATCGTTAAAACTATTACGTCATATGGAAAATGCGCAAATTTCTTGAATGATCAAAAACTCCCACAAATATTCGAAATTGGCAGCTATCACTGCTCAGGTTTCTTCTCGAGAGGCGACTATAGAAGAGAAAGACAAGATTGCAAGCTACAGGTCGCTGAGAGAGGAACTCTTCAAAGAAAATCACTTATCAAATTGAACGAAATGTTTGGTAATAACTGATTAAAACCGAATATCCGCTTCTCTGGCATGATCTACACCATCGAACCCCTATTCCGTTGCAGGGGATGTCGATCCCCTCCCCCGCGTTGACGAGCTACATTCGTGCATACGGGGAGGGGGAGGGAAGGGATCCCCACTGAGGGTTCGCCTGATCGATACCCGAAATCAAATGCCGATATTGTAGCAAGAAAAGAGTACCGCAAAGAAATGGTTGACGAACGTTGAAAAAAAGCACAGAAACTACAATGAATCTTTCTATGGGAGAAGTAAGCCATAACATAACTGCTAGGAAGCCATAACGTGAACTGCTAAATATCGCACCACTTCAGAAATCAACAATATTACTATCACAGTATGTATGCATAACAAAGCCTTAAAACCATTAATAGGGAAAGAAGTAGAAAAAAGCAACGAAGATTACAATGGGAGGAATGAAAAGAAAAAGGAGAAGACGGCAAAAAGGAATAAAAGCACTCGAAATCGCTACTCTTGTACATTTCATTTCGAAAGTCATTCTAGTACACAAAAAATGGCTGAAAATAGCTTATTGGTGAAAACTTCTGGTAAGCCGTGAGGTAGATGCGACCACCGCAGTGGCACCATCCCCGCTGTAAGTGTAGGGGAGGGGATCGCTCCCCTCCCCGCTGCCATAGCGGGGTTCAATGAAGGGGATCGTTCCCCTGGGGATCCAGCTCCCCTCCCCTCCCCAGCCGGGATGTACGTGCATACGGGCCTTAGATACCGCAGTCACTTGGTGGATATGACGATCAAGCTGCAGCCTAAAGGAACTTGAAATTTGTGCTGCTTCATCACAGCTTTTAGCTGAGATTGCAGAAGTTAGTTTTCTCTCTAGCGCCAATTCCAAAGAAATTCTTTTTCTTCAATTGTTTTTTTCTATCAAACCAATCTCTCGTTCTGATTTGAAAGATATGATGTGCAATGCAACTGAAAGCTTTTGTATATGCTGGTTTGTTTGAGGTTTTCTTTCATTAAACTATGCTATAATTAGAAGAAAGCTGTCTTACTACTCCTCATGTAAAAAGGAATAACTTCATGAAAACTAGCAGTCTTAGACAGTGAGAAATTTACAATGTGGTAAATCAGAGACCGCACAAGGTGTGAGTTTCAAAGCGGGAATCTCACAAAAAGTATTCACAGCACTTGGCGCGAAACAGCTATGGCTACAATTGGGAAGAGAAAAAATTCTAAACCGTAGCCCTAAAGATATAGGGTCTCCAAAAAATTTATCAAACAATTGATTTTTTTGGGTCTCTCAAAAAAGCTCTTGGTTTATTCAAACATCTTAAAGTTCAAATTGGCTTCAATTCGAATTTATGGTATGAAGCAAAGCTTGAATGCTCTTCATTACTCTCCGAATACAATAAGAACTTCTAGCTTACTGCGTCATTGCCACTTAGCGGTGACAAAATTTTTTTTTGAAAATTCAAAAAATTGTTACCATGGTGATTACTCACGCTGATTTTACCACTCAGCTTTTTGCATGACTCTAAGGCCCTGGGCAGAGCTCACGCGACGAAGTCGCGCGATCTCCAGTCGCGACGACTTGCACTAAAGTGGCTACTGGAACGCGACGACTGAGTCGCTCAGTCGCCGGAGGCGTGCATTCCTCCAACGCGATTTCGTGCAGTTGCCCAACACTTTACACATTGCACGTACTTTAATTCATTACTGAAAATCAGTGCTCTCGTTGACTTTACTACATCAGTGTCATTCAAAAAGGTGTAACAGCAGACAGAGAAAGTTTGAAAGTTTATCACACAGCATCGAACAACAATCACAACGTTATGCACCCAAATGATCAACAGCAGAAGTCAACAACATCGTGGCGTCAGGAAAAAAATGGGTCATAATCGAATGACTGTTGGGAAGCATCAATTATGAGTAGGGAAGAAGTCCCAGCAAGGCCACCAGTGGATGCGGACATTCCGAAGTAATCAATGGCAAAAGGGTTTTCAGCTCTAGATACGTCAACGATATGATGCACTTGATAGACGAAAGACTGCTATTTTCATGCAAAGCTCATATCTCGGCGTTTTGCTGCATAACATCGTCAGTAGACTGCGAGCACATTCTTAAAGTATTCGATGCACAATCGAACAGGGTGGGGCTTCTCTTTAGCAGCTTAAGGTATATGATGAGATATAGGAAAATGTAGATTAGGAAATAGGAAAAAATGCAAAATGAAGACTAACTGACCCTCATCAAACATTGCAAGGATAGGCATAATTTAGCAATTGCAACAGTTCATGCGAAAACACTCATAACCCGCAAACAACAGCAACATACAACAATAACATCGAAAATCCAGTTCACGATTGGCGCGACGGTTGTGCCGTCGCTCGCCGCAAACGAGCGACGCGACATCGCGCCGATTCGGCAAAATCGCGGCGATATCGCCTGGCAAGCTATGAACGCCGAAAAGTGTGGCGCGATCCGTCGCGCCGCGCAGCCATCACAAACGCGTTGGGACCCACACACTAAACAGCGTGGCGTGGAACACTTGTCCAAAGTGATAGGTCGCGACGCGACGAAATCGCATGAGCTCTGCCCAGGGCCCAAGGCTTTCTAAACGTCCTAATCGCGGTTTTGAAGGGACATCGAGAAGGCGGATGTTTTAATAACTTACAAAAAAGCATTACAATAAAGTGCAAACTTCATATTTCAAAATTCACCACATTTTATTAGCGTATGATAGTTCTCAAGTAATTACAATGCTTCCTGAGGCGAAAGAGGTCCCTTTATTTGAGAACCTTTTCCAAAATTTCTATTGTAATCCCACAGAAGAGCGATCGGTTCTTCGCAATATACTGCAAACTTAATTTGAAGGAGGATCTAATAATGAAGTGGCCTCAAAAGCTCTTTATTCAAGAAAACCATTGAAGAACGGATGTTTGATATGTTTCTTCGCCATAATCTGTAAAATTCAGTTGTTAGAAAAAATTTTCTTTCAAATCGTTACTACTTTTTTTAAAGGTAGAATCGAAACCATTAATGAACGGTGACAATAGTTGCTATGCTTTTCCAGAAGAGTGTAGAAGCTTCCTCATCTAAAAAAATCCGCAAATAGCATAAGCAACCGCAAAAACTGAACTTTGAGCTTTATGAATGGGTTTGATCTGTCAGTTGTCAAATCACTAAATTATTGTGTGGGTTAGTAGTGGTAGCAATGATCCTGATAAACGGTAATGATAGGACGTTACAGGAAGTCAGTGACAAATATGGATATGCTCAGTCTAATCAATATTTATCACCCAGCTGCTGCTAGCAAGCTACTTTTTTTAATTCGTGAAAAAAAATTTTCGAACATGCGGATGCCAAACTTGGATAGCGGCTTTTACCGAGCCTTCCACTTCCAGGGAGGGCTAGGTATGTAATAGGTTCTTGATTGACAACAAGAAAATTAGATATAAGTTGAGCAGAACGATCTCATTAGGCTGGAGACTTGTGGCTTTGCAGAAATTGATTTAACATATACAATTTATTATTACTATTGTATACGTTAGAAAAATGCACATGGCTTACAATGCAATTCAAATTTGGTTTCTTGCAGTTCCAAATTTGAAGTTTTGCAGTAAATATTGGTCTCGAAAAATAGCGCGTAAAAAACTACAATTCTAGTAATTTGTCGCATCCATAGCTAAATTTCCATATTGAAAATTAGGCGTTTAGATGGGTTAAAAAATGAAATGTACAGGGAACTCTGCTTCAGGAGAAATCACCATTTACGATTTTCTTAGATTATATGCACAACCCTTTGGAACCAGCTTAAGTCATACACCAACCTTGGTTAAAACCAAAATGACAGTAGCTTTCAATTTTTGAAATTCTTACACTAAAAAATCTCTGTTGAAAATAAAAGGAAGCTCTTGTGCTGTGCCTTACTACTACTACTAATCCTAACTGACAATATATAATTACAAGAAGTGTGCCCAAGAAAAGATAACAAAATCAAAGGATATTTTCATGAATCGAAAATGTGGGAAATGGCGAACGACTACTGAATTATCCAGCTTCAAGAAATTCATATCCGGCTGTTGTACCCCGGATAGCTAATCTTAGATAAAAATAAGAAGTAAATCAGAAAGAAAATACAGGTAGAAACTTGATGATTCTATGAAACCCATGTTCATTTGTATTTTGGCAGCTTTCTACTAAATAAAGCCTTTATCAGTGGGATACAACGATATAATTCGAAGAAATATGATTGAAAGCATCATTATCACGATTGTTGAAAGGAATTTGATTTTAGCGCTATGCGACCTTGTTGTGTGATTATCACTTCCTTAGCGGGCAAATTAAAAACTGATATACGAAACACTTTACTGTGCAGTTTAAAACTAAACCGTCCTTGAAAATCTGTATATAAAAGAGAACCAATTCAATTTCGACACCAGCAATGACCGACGAGAAGCATTTCGAAGCCGAGGCTATGTCTCTGAGGAGACTCGCTTTCTTCGGTGTGGCCCTTTCCACGATGGCCACCCTGATCTGCGTCGTCTCAGTGCCAATGCTCTACAACTACATGCAGCATATGCACTCGGCTATGCAAAACGAAGTCGACTTCTGCAAGTCCCGCTCTGGAAACATGTGGAGAGAAGTCACCCGCACTCAGGTAATTTCTTCATTTCAAGTATTTTTTTGCGTTTTCTATCATTCCGCTTTGAATTCTTACCTTTCAGACCCTCGCCAAGGTCACTAGGAGCCGTCGTCAGACCGGCGGTGGATGCTGCGGTTGCGGAGTCTCTGCCAGAGGACCACCAGGACCACCAGGAGCAGCTGGTCAACCAGGAGGTGATGGACGTCCAGGACAGCCCGGAAGAAACGGACCTGATGGCCCACCAGCCACACCAGCTCCAATCACACCACCCTGCTTCAACTGTCCCGCTGGACCACCAGGACCACCAGGAAATGCAGGAAGCCGTGGAGCACCAGGAAACCCAGGACCCGACGGACGACCCGGAAATGCTGGTAACCCAGGAGGCCAAGGAGCTCCCGGACCACAAGGACCACCCGGAAACGCTGGTCAGCCAGGAAACCCAGGTGCACCAGGAACGCCTGGTAGACTCACCACTGTTCCCGGTAACCAAGGACCACCTGGACCACCTGGACCACCAGGACCACCAGGACCTAACGGAAACCCCGGAGGCCCAGGAAACCCAGGAAACCCAGGAGGCCAAGGACCTCCCGGAGACAATGGAAGACCTGGAGGACCAGGACAGCCTGGAGCTCCTGGAGACAGAGGACAAGACGGTGACAGTGGAGCTCAGGGAAGCTGCGACCACTGCCCTACTCCTCGTACTGCTCCTGGATATTGATTTCTTTAGTAAGATGAAATAATAAATTTTGAATGAGCATCTCTACCGCAACATACAAGATCAGCCACTGACCTTGAGGTCCGCTATCATACAGTTTTACTAGCGCACCACTTTCGATATGTGTAACACTAAAACTTTATACCTGACCCACTTCGAGACCAATTAGAAGACTGTGAGATGTTATCGGTAGATGGGTAAACAAAGTTGTCATTTCGCGATATTCCGAAGTGACAGAAATTTGAAAGAAACGGTGTACGGTATTTCTAACGTGATTGCTCTCATTTCTGTGTAGATACCGTTACCATATCGACATAGATGTCGTTTTTGTAAACAGACTGCAAAGGCCACTTCTAAGTTTGATTTCTCACAGATATATTGCCTATATATTGAACTTCGGTTTTTTGCCTAGGGTGCCTTAAAATACAAGAAAAAGGAATAAAAAGCCTGCAAGCAAAGAATAGGCGTCTCCGTGAACAACCAGGCCAGAATAAGTTAGGTTCTATTCATAGTTGTGCAATTGCACATGTTTTTTTTCCTTCACAGAAGGATTTTACCGCACATATTAGGTTGTCCCAAAAGTAAACTCCATTTTCAATTGACTTGAACTGTTTTTGTTTTTTTGACAGATTTAGGGTACAATTCGGTAGAAAGGAGCAAGCTCTACAAAAAGACTACCAAAAATCCACCCAATTCGTAACCCAGGTAAAATTTGGATTCAAAAATAATTCTTCAGCTACCCTAAAAATCAAATCTCCTTCCTGAAAATTCCTACGGACTTACAGCTTGGTCCTTGTATAGTAGTCAATAGTAGTACCTTGAAATGTATTTGATGGATTTTTTCAGGCACTCAAAATTGAGAAACAAAGGTGGTCTCAAAATGCCAAAATGCCACTTTTTATGAGTTTTTTATGTGAAACTTGGTATTTCTCGATAAGGGCAGCAATGAAATTTTGAGTTTATATTTAGCAAGGACTGTAGTATATAGTGACATAAGTGGGAGGGGCTGGGGGTGGAGTTTGCCATTTTTGGACTATCTTGTTTTTCTCGCTTTCTTTGCTCGGAATAATCCAGTCAAGGCATTTTTGAGTACTAATATGTGCATACTGTATTGTGACCAAGTTAGAGATCCGTACGGTTCTTCTTCGCAAAAATCCAATTTTCAGGTGACAAAATTTTTTGGATTTTGGCTTCAAACTTTACATGGCAGGCGACTTGGACGGACCTTTGGCGGTCATTTTGTAAAGCTTGATCTGCTCTATCGAACAATGCTCTGAGTTAGTAGGAAAACACAACAGCTTGAGTTATTCAAAAATGGAGTTTACTTTTGGGACAACCTAATACAATGTGATTGCAGTGCAGCCTGTGTGCACGACCTTTCCAATCAGAATCGGTTGAATTTTATGGTTTTCCTTGCTTTCTTCTCTCTTTTGGTTTGTGTAGATGAATAAGAAGCACTGGTACACAGCTCTACAGCTTGCTCCGCCAAAAAAGCTTCCACTGGCGTGTTACTAGCAAGGTGTCGTCGATTGGCGCGCATAGTGTGCAGGGTCACATATTGAGTTATAAATGACACGCGCATTTTTAGTTGGCCTCTCTCATTTGATGAAAAATAGAGTGTTGTTTTTTTTACTACGGGTTAGATTCGATATTACTCCTTTGAATTGTAAACGCTATTGGTTTGATGCATAACACTTGCACCAAAATTTTTAGAATTCTGTCACTTTCCTGCTTCAATGAAATTTTCTGATCCAATAATAGAGGGGGAAAGTTTTGCGCCATATGGCAACGATATAATCAAGATTGATTAGAGAAAAAACCAAAAAAAACCAAAAACCAAACCGTCAGCAAAAGTCCGAATTCATTTTATTCTTGTTATGTGATCTACTTTTCAAAAAGAAGACCAAAAACCAAAAAGAAGTTGGTAGTAATAGCATATCTCGTCGACTAGTTATAAGTCCGATTTTTTCGTTCGGACTTATGGATGAATTGGTTTTCAAAAGTTTACTATAAAATAGTATAATACCTTCAATACACAAAAAGAGCAAGTCGTTTAGATTAATTAGTTTGTTGAAGCATTTTCAGAACGAGTTTCTTCTGATTTTTGGTGCAACAATTGTGCATCAAAAAATATATACAGGGTGTCCCAAAAGATGTGCACACTGTTTGATCGTTAATAACTCTCTTGCTTTCGTGTCTTTTGCCGAGCTTTAGGTACCATTCTTTAGAGTTTAACTTAGATTTACAGTACAGTGCGAATCGACAGCCTCTCTTCATTACTGTAGGATTACGGTAGGAATTTCGAGGAGGAATTTGAGTCATTGAAAGCGGTATTTTGCCTCAGAAAGAAAGCCAAACAAGCCAGAAACCCTTGAATTGGGTTAACGAAGTTGCTGATTCTGGATATGAAAACTGGACGTCAATACAGTGTTTCTTTCATGAGTTATTTCAGATTTAGGGTAGCAACTAATTTTTCAGTGTTTGTCAGAAATGTGAACACGCCATCAAGAAAGCTCGAAAAATTGATGGAAAGTTGTGTATTGAAATCAGCACGCCTGAAAACCTTGCTACACAAATTTTTAGATTTTTTCGCAATTATTTCATCAAAAGGCTTAGTCCACAGTGACGCTGTATGCTGAAAGTTCATACTGTGACCCTACAGTAACGAAGAGCGATTGGTGATTCGCTCCATCGCGTAAATCCAAGTTTGTCCTCGCTCTTCAGAATGGTACCTCAAGCTCGGCAAAAGACATGAAAGCAAGAGAGTTATTAACGATCAAATAGTGTGCACATCTTTTTGGGACACTCACATAAACAACAAATTGCAAATTCTTATTTTTATTTGCAAATTATAAGAAGAGCGAAAGTAACATCATGGAAGATCGGCTTCCTTTTGTAGCAAAATTATGCAGGGCAACAATCATCAGTTAAGAGTGAATCTGCCTTTCCATAGGCATTTTCCATAAAAGTACATATACTTGTATTCTTTCAGCATACGGGGAACATAGCATGAGCGTAACACGAAAGTTTGTTATGGTGAGTCAAAAATAGACAACACCAAAAAAGGCAATTTATCTTCTGTGGCAGCCACAACAATCATGTATATACTAAAATCAAGTTACATAAAGATATTGAAGATTCTTCATGATTTCACAGTTAATTACTATGATTACTGACTTGATTACTATTTAGTATAATTACAGCTCAATAGTTTTTTTTTCAACTTCTTTGCACCAATCGTTACTACAGCTTTAGTGCATATGTAATTATAGCCTAAGTCCAGCCTCATCACGTCAACTTATTGGTGGGACCATTAATTTTGCGTTAATTTCGTTTTTCTTTGTTATCTCATTATTTTGAAGATAAGTCTGTCAAAACATGTATGGTTTCTTCTTCAAAAGGCGTATGAGTCATACATCCTCTTCTTTGCCTCATCGCTCCCTCATTCTAAGCATCGCCTATGTGCTCGCGCCGTGCTAGTGCCGTTCTAGCGCCATCGATTATTCATTGTCAGGAGGGGCGTCTAAATAGAGTGGCACGGCACTAGCACGGCGCTAGAACAGACAACTCTGGACGCAGCTATGGGGGCGCACGATATTGAGTCAAGAAGTTTGTCGAATTATTCGCGAAATAAAATATGTGTATTGCACAAAATGCAGAATATCACGGCTTATGGTTATACGTTGCCAACTATTGAGGGGGAGGGGGGTTTTTTTCCTTTGAAACTAGATAGGAAGCTATGTGAACAGGTTCCAGACGAACGAGTCTGGTCTTACTCTTTGCCAGAAAGAGATGAGAGATCGTGCGCGGTGTGCAATCTCACAAACTAAGCCATAAATGGTTATTTGCTTAGCGAGTAACGAAATCCAGCGGAGATCATTACTTTTTGTGCACACAGTACAAGGTATAGAATTCTCGAAGAAACTTTCGTTGAGCTGCCAATATTACACCTATTCGCGTCATGACGTTTTTCAGGGAAGTACGTTAGGTCTACAGTAGTAAGTCAAAATTAAAGATTTGGCTGTGATTTGGTCGGGGTGTCAGATATGCAGATACGCATGTCATACTTTCTTTCGAAAGCGATATCGTCGGTGAGTAAGGTAGGTTTGCTGCAAGGGGTCAAAATCACAAACTTGTCACGACAATTACATGGCTGTGACAATGCTTGCTGGGGGTTACGGTAGGTATACGGTATGTAATCAAAAATCACAGATGGGGTTGATGCTTTGCGTAGTGGCTATCTAAAAAGGTAATCACACATTCCTCGGTGAAGGACTTCATGAACAGGAAAGCGGCCTTGAGCAGGTATATCCAATAAAGTGCGCACTGTAGCCCCTCCCATTGCTAAATGGACGAGTTTCCTGCACTACAGCTTCAGCACTTGTTTACGGCCATTTTCGCTAGTCCCTGAAAGTAGTTCTCGGAGTGGACTATGTTTCAAGCGGGAAGAGCTTCAACAAAAGTGATTTTACTTTTTTGTTTGCCATTTAATCAGCTATTGATGTATTTGCAATAGATGACGTTTTATGACTCACTTCATGAATGAAAGTCTCGGTAGATGTATTTCATTTTGAAGTGTGAAGTCCAACCTAGATTATCAGGAGTGATTGTCTGAGTGGGTTCCCTAAACAATCACATGCAATCTCGCGGCCCCTCTGCAGCAATTTAGCATCATCTTGTGAACATTTCAATATGCAGCTTTTAGACAAGCAAAAAATAGTTTTCTGAAACAGTCTTACTTAGCTTATTAGTTTCAAAACTCTGACGTTCTTCAACCGAATTTTGAAGTAATGGCAAATAATCTGTTACTTTGGACTTGTATTCAAAGGCAGCGTGTGGACAAGATGGGGGTTTTGGGATTTCAGTGCCATGGGAGAGTGCCTCCCACCCCCTCAGATACAGCATCGCGCAGATACAGGTTAGAACATTCTACCTAGAGTAAGAAAAACGATCAGGAAATTGGGAAACTTACCCTTGGGGGGGGGAGGGGGGAGAGAGAAGTT